TGTGTTGAGTTAAAACAACAATAGGAACAGGCTGCAACTAGCTAATTTCATTCAACAAACATTATTGAGCATCTCATATGTGCAAAACCCTTGAGAGTACACAAGGGGGGGAAAGCACTGCCTTCAAAATGATTGCATTCAGTAGAGAAGTTGCCAAATATACCAACAACCATTTACAGAGTGCAGGTGCTAAATGCAAAAATTTGCATCTAGCAGTGTAAATTAAAAAATGAGTTGCCCTAGATGGTTTGACTCAGTGGATAGAGCATTGGCCTGCGGACTGAAGGGTCCCAGGTTTGATTCTGGTGAAGGGCATGTACCTTGGTTGCAGGCACCTCCCCAGTAGGGAATGTGCAGGAAGCAGCTGAATCGATGTTTCTCTATCATAGATGTTTCTAACTCTCTCTCCCCCTCTCCCTTCCTCTCTTTAAAAAATCAATAAAAAATATTTTTTAAAAAACAGAAATATTAAGAAAATAAAATTAAACCCTGCTCTTTACAAACAACCAAATAAATAAATTTGTGGAAAAACAATTTTGCTTTCAGTATTCAAATCCTATGGTTCTGCCCTAGCTGGTTTGGATCAGTGGATAGAGCATCGGCCTGCGGACTGAAGGGTACCAGGTTTGATTCCAGGCAAAGGCACATGCCTAGGTTGTGGGCTCGATCCCCAGTCAGGGGCGTGCAGGAGGCAACCAAACAATGATTCTCTCTCATCATTGATATTTCTCTCTCTCCCTCTCTGAAATCAATAAAATTACATTAAAAAACACACAAAATACCTATGGTTCCATATGGCAAAGAATTCATGGAGTCATTGAGGAATGAGTGAAATTCAAATATTGGTGTTAGATGCTGCATAGGACTCCTTTAACTTAAAATAATAAATTTATTTAAACAATTTGAAAAGATGCTGAGCCGACATTTTAACAAAAGAGATAAAGACAGTGTAAGTAAACGTATGAGAAAACACTCACCATAAAAATTTCTTACATGAATGGAATTTAAACAAAAGTGAGTTAACACTATATTCTTTTCCAGGGCTACTATTTAAAAAGGTTAACCACTGCACGTGCTGGCAGGGTAGCAGAAAAACTGGAATTTTTATATACAGTGGGTTAGTGGGAAGACAAAGAGAATGACCCTTCTGGGCTACAGTCCCCCATATTTTAAATGTAAAACATTCACCTACACGGCAATAGTTTGAGAAGTTAAACGTACATCTCGCCGAAACCGGTTTGGCGCGTCGGCTTGCGGACTGAAAGGTCCCAGGTTCGATGCCGGTCGGGGGCATGTACCTGGGTTGCGGGCACATCCCCAGTGGGAGATGTGCAGGAGGCAGCTGGTCGATGCTTCTCTCTCATCGATGTTTCTAACTTTCTATATCTCTCACTTCCTCTCTGTAAAAAAATCAATAAAATATATTAAAAAAACAACAACAAACAAACAAAAAAAAAAACATACATCTCTATAGAAACTGAAGATAATATTTAAAAAACCCCAAACCTGGAAATAACCAAAACCATGGACAGACCAATGGATAAATTCGGTGCCATAGAGCACAGTACTACTCAGCAATAAAAAAGTCACTATCCACATAAACATTAGTGTTGAATCTCAAAATAACTGTGTAGCATGGAGGAAGCCAGTACTTGTTAAAGACTGCACACCTTCTAGTGCTTATAAAGTCAGAAAAATATGAACTATTCTATGTGAAGGAAGGAAGATCTGTGACTTCATGGAGAGCCGAGAGGCAGGAAGGGAGATTATAAAAGGGCAATAAGAATATCCAGGGTGTGGCACAAGTAGGTGTAGAGTTGTTGGTATGGAAATTAATACAATAATGAATAATAGTACAGAAAGAAACTCTTCCCTGCCAGTGAGCCTCAGTTGGTTGGGCACCATCCCTTGCCCTGAAAGTCACGGGTTCCATTCCTGCCCGGAGGCCCTGTAGGTGGCGGGCAGGAGGCAGCTGTTAGCTGCATCTTTTCCATATCACCATTTCTCATTCTCTGCCTCCTTCCCTCTCTTTCTAAAAAGCCAATAAGTTGTTTTAAAAATATATAAAACACTTATTTTTAAAAAGAGAATAAACTCTTAAGTTTTGCATATTGACATCTTTAAGCCTACTTTGCCCCTAACCTGTATATGGGTGAGAGAGAAGTTTCACAGGTGATGGTATTACAGCTTGATCCATATGTCCAAGCTCACAAAATAGTACGCATGAGAAAAGAACAGTACATTTTGTTACATTTCAGTTATAAAGATACCTACATAAAGCCTTAAAAGTATTTTTAAATAAAGACCTAGATATTCTTGTCTTGCTAGAAAATTAAAATGGAAAGACTATTAAGGACTCTACCCTCTCCCTCCTAATTTCCTGAGAGGACTGGCCTTGTCTCAATGGCAGCAAATATTGTCAAGCAGTGCCGACTATTGCCATCAGAATCAACAGCAATCACAAAAGACTCATCGTGGGACTGATTACATGCTTATCCTGCCTCTAGCTTGGAGGTCTTGCCTGTTGAGCAAACCTTGAGGTGAACATCCGAGATGGGCGAGGGGAATCCAAACAACTATTACATTATTTTTTCCGCCAATTATTTCAGCCACAGGAGACAGTGATGGAGGTCCTGAGAATGTCTGTACACACAGATCACACAAGCCACAGCCCACCGACCATTTGTGGATAACGATGAGAAGAAGCACTTTTCATGAAATTTACTCCAGTCTTATCCACTCACGATGAACACAGTGTTTCTGTCCTAATTGTGGTTCAATCTCAACCTTAGTGTCTTAAAACCAATGGCACCAGCCTATGACATTTTATACATCATGTTACCTGGCTCCTTTACAGCATGGGGGTAAGAATCCCTTGATACATTGCTGAGAATTATGTAATAAATGCTGTGAACAGAGACTAATTTTCATATTGTTCACAGAAGCACAACAAAGGCCTCCTTTTCTGGGTGACCATGACACAACCAATAATAGAGGCACCAGATTAGAACCACAAAGTCATACACACTTTCTCTCAGGGCCTTGGTGAGCAACACAAAATGAGCCAATATTGGACAAAGAGTGCTGTTCTGAAATCATGCTGTGCTTTCCAAAGCACAAGAAGTTTGGGACCCACCATATCTGTTCACCTCTCCATGCTGACAGAGGACTATTTTCCTTTCCGTCATCCCAAGGAATCAAAAGAACCAACAAAATTAAAGGTTGAAAGGAAAAACCCTTTCCAAAAAAGATCATAAACCAGAGCAGAGGAACGTAAGAGGTTTGCATGTTAGTGAATTTGAACCTGAAATGATTCACCACAGCATCAAGTGATGTCCAAAATGTCCCCGAGAGAGGTCGCACTTCTTAGCTGAGGATGGGTGCTCTGGATGAAACCTGGGTCAAGTCAGTTCTCACGTCAGAGAGAAAAGATTGAAGATACAGCCAAGAGCTCGAAGAATTCATAACTTTCTCAAGCACAAGGGAGAACACAGAATTCCTTTTCCCGGAGCCCGCAGAAAACTATGCACACCATTCAGGTGGGCCAGGTGGTAGAGGAGGTCGCTTCAGCCTCCTGAATACTCGCAGTGACAGCAATGAGGTGGGAGTCCTCAGAAGTTAGCAAGTGCAATGCAGCTCCCTCAGGCCTCACATGTACCTCAAATGTATGAGGAATTTCGCACAGTGTATGTTGAGATAAAAGGGTTTATATTCAGACCAAAGGATTAAAGTCTCCTTTAGTGTTGTAGAGTGAGAAAGATAAAAGGTCCCCTGCACATTTAAGGCTTTTTTCCCATGTGAATTCTCAGATGTCTAAAAAGGTTAGGTTTCCATCTAAAACATTTCCCACATTTACTACACTTATATGGCCTTTCTCCAGTGTGACATCTGTGGTGCTCCATGAGCGAATGTATTTCTTTAAAGGACTTTCCACAATCACTACACTCATAAGGCTTTTCTCTGGTATGAACTCTGTAGTGTCGATTGAGGGTAAACTTTCGTCTAAAGAACTTCCCACAATCACTACATTCAAAAGGTTTTTCTCCAGTGTGAACTCTCTTGTGGCTAAGGAGAGTACTATTATGCTTAAAAGATTTTCCACAATCAGTACACCCATAGGGTTTTTCTCCAGTGTGAACACGGTTGTGTTCATTGAGGTGAGAGCTTAACCTGAAGGACTTCCCACAATCACTACACTCATAAGGCTTTTCTCCGGTATGAACTTTGCGGTGTCGAATGAGTGTAGACTTTAGTCCAAAGAACTTCCCACAATCACTACATTCAAAAGGTTTTTCTCCAGTGTGAACTCTCTTGTGGTTAAGGAGGTTACGATAGTTCCTAAAAGATTTTCCACAATCAGTACACTCATAGGGCTTTTCTCTAGTGTGAATTCTTCCATGTTGAATGAGGTGAAAGATCCGTTTAAAAACTTTCCCACAATTGTCACACTCATATTTCACTTCTCCAGAGCAGGCACCCTGATGGTGAACAACTTTCTGGTAGCGGCTGCCAAATTTCTCATAGTTACAAGTCTGCTGAAGACTTTTTCCACCAACATAGTTCTGTGAAATCTCACTGCCCTTGTGTGGCTCCTCAGTGTTGAGAGGGGTTTGGTGGTGGAGAAGCTCTGAGATGTCTGGGAAGACTTTCCAACCAACCTCCCTACTGGTTGAAGGCATAGAAGGTAAATAGAAGCTGCAGCAGGTCACAAAGGAGGCCCTGTCTAAGACGTCTTTCCAGGACTTCTCTCCACTGGAAAACTTTTGTTTCTGTTGAGGGTTTGCACTGAAACAGAAGTCTCTCACACATGCGTCACTGAAGAAGGCTTTCTGCTCAAAGTCTGCTGCTTGTGACTCAGTCAGGTGCAGAATGTCTTTGAACACTGAGAAACACCGCTTACACAGATGGGTCCTCTGGGTTGCTGGCTCTGTCTTTGATGCCCTGACCTGTGACTCTCCTTGTACAGATAAACTCTCCTCAGAACAGGCCTCCGCATCATCCATTTTATGCCAACAACCTGAAAAAAGAGAATTGAGAAGGAACTGAAGTTGACTGTGGTGACAGACAGGGGAAGTGCTATTGCTAAAGTGTTTTGCACTTAATACAGGGGTTCTCTGCAATTTTATGAAAATAAGAGAGGTGCAGGAAGGATTAACAAGAAACTGTTGTGAAGGTCTGGGCCTCTGAAGGTCACAAAACAGGGAAGACCTCACCTGAAACATGACACACACGGCAAGGACCACATGGAAGAGAGGATGCATCTCCAGCTCAGGCCTCTGCTAACAGTGCTGAGCAGGGCTGGTCTGCTGGTGACAGGAGCAAGCTGTGCAGAAGGTTGGTTATGTCTTCTTCTAAGTAAAATTCCATAAGCAAGTAGCAAGTCTTTGATGACTACTTAAGCCTGTATGTGCACCTATCACACATGTGCAGGTCCATGTAGGAGAATACTGCACAGGGTGCAGTGCAGAGGGGGAAGGTGATGCAAAAAGGTGACAAAGGTGATTGTAGCCATAAGCCAGGAAGTCACAGATGAAATGCACGTCAGCAAAATGTCAACAGTGGGAAAGAGAAGGTAGAAATGGGCTGTAGCTAGTGCCACTTGCCCCTAAACACTGTTGGAAATTCGCTGGTTCCTGGTACCACCTGACCACCACCATTATGTCATACCTTCCCCCCAGTTGTCATTCAGCAAGGCCCAATCTCCTCTGAGAACCTCTTGCATGTTCATCCTATGAGTAACCCAGGGTTCTCCCTGATCTTCTACTCTACCGATGCATAAACCCTAAATATTCCAAGTATTAATGAAAGATAATAGAGAGCAGCCAGCTCTGGCCAAGGGCATTTTGGCCCGCAGCAGTACTCAGCTAAGGTAATATTATAAACAACAATTGGAGAAGGGCCCATGGTTCATATAAGTGGAGAACACAACCTGGCACAGGCTGTCATAAAGCACCTTCCCCTAGAGGAAGGGGGTAGAAGGGAATAAATGTGGGTATTGTCACCCTCCCACGGAGAGGAAGAGGAAGATGGGACCCATTAAGTTGCCAGTAAGACTCCCAATTTCCATACAATTTCGGCACTTTTTGAGGCAATGGGTATCAGGGATGTTTGTGGAGTCCATTGGTCAGGGCTCTCCATACAGCTCAACAATAGCAACCACAGCACATTTGACAAGTCAGTGGCAGGAATGAGCAGAACTCACGGTCTGGCTGTGGGAGGGAGAAAGCTATGTTTTGAGAATAAAGGAAGAAAGGGCATCACCTCAGGACCCTGGGACAATGTGAAGGTCTTACCTACAGATGAGACCAGTGCAAACACTTCCAGCATCACATCGCAGTACAGAAGTCTCTGAGCCTCATCAAGGAGCCCCCACTCCTCCTCAGAAAAGGCAATGGCCACGTCCTCAAAGTCCATATCCTGTCGTGACGGGGACAGTTCAGTCCATGATCAGCTTCTGTCCTAGGCTTTTACTTTTGTCATCCTTCCCACTCTCCATATCCATCTGCTCCCTCCACTCCCACATCACAGAAAATAGCAGGCCGTGCATCCATCAGAGTCACTCTCTCCTTATATTCCTACTGATACTCTGTCTTCCCACAATACTCAGGGTACATGATCATACAGATGATACCTCTGCTCTGGGACTCACATGTAGGCCACACTGCTGCTTTTCAATACAGTGGGTATCATGAACACAAGGGAGGAATAGATGGTATCCATGATGAGAGTATGAGGATTTGACACAGTGCTTCTCAGGCAATCCACTGTTGTCCCCTGGATTCTCATTGTAAGACCCTGATAATTATGGTCTCACCTCAACCCTCTGAACCCAATCTCAGGGTGCTGAGGCCATTACTGTGCACTATGTCGTGGACATAATTCACTTCTGTCACACAGCTTCATTCCCAGAGGCACCATGTCAAATGTAACACAAATATGCCGTGATGAACACAGTTTATTTCTTAATCATCTTCTTTTCCAAAATTCGAATTCACCACCTCTGTAACGTATTTCTCTCTTCCCCTTCTCACTCCCAAAGCCCGTGGAGATTTTCAAGCCCAGAGGACACTGATGTATGCTATCCTTTTCCTATTGGTCACTGAACCAGCCCAACAACAACAATAGGCCGGTGTGCACACATATTTCACCTAAGCTTTCCACCAAGGTTATACCATCACAATCCACCCTCTTTCCAGGAATTAACCTGGAACTCACCACCCTGTATTATCAGCAGGTAATGGACTCAACCTTCATTCCCTCTTATGTCAATGCCAGGGCCCTGCTGCATGACTGCACATGCCCTCTCCTAGGGCACATCACTCTTTCTCCACTCCTCTCTCACATCTGCACTCCCGCACCCACGGTTTCATAGTCATCTCCTTGACTTCCTACTCATTACTCAGCATGTGTGGTGTAGTGACTGCTTGGAAAATTCAAACAGGAATAAGTTCTACACCAACTCTGAGAGTCCACACTCATGGAGGCAGCCTTGAGCCCTGTTACAAAGGCCTCCCTCCCTGTGTTTTCCTTCCACATCACCTACTGAGAAACTCATCAGGCCTCATGTCCAGATGCCTGGCAACCACCGCCAGGACCTATGGGCTCAGGGTGCTCAGGGCCCTGGCCCAGCCCCGGGTCGGGTGATGCCCGCATCCCTCCGGGCTAAGTCCAGTGCGCACCTGCCAGTGACCTCATCACCTACAGGGTCCTCCTTCCTGAGGTGGCTTCCAGGCCCCTTCCATCACGTGGTGCCTTCTGCTCTGCTCCCTTGACCCACACAACCCTGACTCGCACTCCCACCGGGTCTCACCACGGGGCACCCTCAAGCCACTCACTGTTCCGGCGCTGAGACCTGGGCTGCAGGCGGGACCGGCACCCACCCCCCAGGCGGGAGGGCGGATGAGGTGAGGGCGGTAGAACTCCGGAAGCAGAGAGGAGTCCGGGAGACACGGAGGACCCAGTCACGGCCCGTTGTGACGCAAGCAGCCTCAGAGACACCCTGCCCAGCGGGGACGCTGCCTCCGCCACCTCCTCCTACTCGCCACCAGAGCGCTAAGCTTGCGAGTCCTGAGCCCCCGGAAGAGGGAGAAACGACCGCCAGAAGGAGGACGCCGGAAGTCCCGCCCTAACAGGATATGCGGGACCAAAATGCACCTTACCTCCTCTGACGCTGGCGCAGTCCTTTCTGGGTAATGTAGTTCTTTCTACCCCAGAGGAGGGCTCATCCCAGCCAATGACCTTGGTGAGTAGGTGTTGAGGCCCCACAGTGGGAGCTGGAGGACAAGATCTTGGGACTGGAGGTGGGCTTAACTGGTCCAAACTGACAGATCTCTGAGGGGAGGGAGGAAGGGAGGCCTGGAATAGATCCACCAAAGGATATCTGTATATATACAGGTGGAAATGGGAGACATCTGTAATACTATCAATGATAAGAAGAATATATGTATATACACAGGGGGAAATGGCAGACATCTGTAATCCTATCAATGATAAAAAAAATACATGCATTTAAAGAAATATTTTAAAATACTATAGCCCAGTTAGTGTGGTTCAGTGGTTGAGCATCAGCTTACAAACCAGGAGTTCATGGTTCTATTCATGGTCAGGGCACATACATGGGTTGCCGGCTCATTTCCCACAGAGAGGGGAGGGACGGGAAGCAGCCTATCAGTGATTCTCTTTCATAAGTGATGAAGTGATGATTCTGAAAGGATATAGAGGCCAACAGGCTGACATTTCCTACATTGTTTGAATGTCTGTGGTCAGTACACATTGTGAAGCTACGGAGCTAAGAGTTACTGAATGTTCACTGCATGTGCCAGGCCCGGGATTCAATGCTTTACCTGCATTATTGTTATTTCATTTAATCCTCTCCACACCTGAGATGATTTAACCAACTATTTTATGGGGAGGAAATCCGGGCTCAGAGACTCAAGGTAAATTGCCTGATTGTAGAGTTAGTAAAAGGCAGGGCTGGAAGTCAAACCCCTGTGTCTCCAACAGAGCTCTGGCTTCTAATGTTATGCTCTGCTGCCTCCTAGAGGGGAGAATAGGGGATGCATTCCCATTAGGACAGGCTAGTTGTTAAAAGCTTTAGTAGCTTATACTAAGAAGGCTTCTTTCTTGTTCATAGCACATGAACACCCTGGTTCTCCTGGAATGGAAATAAAGGAGAAGCTCCATGATCGTACACGCTGGGTGTTATCAGAGATAAACTGTTTATGGACAGTCTCAATGGTTCCAGACTCTTCTGTCAGAGGTCACAGCTTCACTCCCAACCCATTTCATTGATCACAGCACATCGCAGGCTGCAACCAACATCCGGGTGCAGCAGCGGAACCTGACATACTTGATGGGCCCAGTTTGCGACCATACGGTGCCAGCCTCTTGTCGGGGACTGGGCAGGGCCAAGGAGAGGAGTGGGGATGGGTAGGAAATGACAGTGGAAGTCCGTCAGGATGGGTCCCTGTCTCCTCATCCAGCCGGCCTTTGTCCCCAGGTTGCCCTAAACTGTCACTGGCAAGATTCAAAGGAGTGAACCTCAAAAAAAGGATGTTGGCCAGATGTCATTGGCAGCAAACTCAGGACCCACTTGTGCGTGTGACCCTGGGTAAATCTATGGCTGCCTGGGCTCCCCACTGTGGTGGAGGTGAAGGCGAACATGGCAAGGGTGTGGATCGGGAAGGTACCAGAGCACAAGCATCCGGCATCCATGTTCTTTGAAATAAACACCAGGCACTACCCTGCTTCCAAGTCTCACCTTTTGCGTTGCCCAGGTGAGTGCCCCATCGGATGGTAAAAATGCTCACATTCACATCAATGGTGACCCTGCGGTTTCCATTCACTCTGTGCATGAACCTGTGGTGAACTAGCAACTGTTCTTATGAAGAGACACCCAGGTTTCTAATGTCAAAAAGCCCTGCCAGCGACACAGGATGCCAAATGGCAGTTTTCTTAAACTAGAGAATCCAGTGGAGACCATATGGAGGTTGTACTCGATTTTCCAAAGATGATTTCTTGAGACAGATGGAAGGACCCTCATTCTCTCAAATATTATTTCATCTATTGCATATCCTGCCCCGTTATGGTGACTTTGGGGCAGGATTTTTGAAATTCTGTGGAAGTTTACCGTCCTGATTGTCTCCTTGTAAATTTCTGTACTTATTTACCTCTGGAGAACTATCCTGGCTGACTCTTAGCATGCAGGCCCGGCTGGATGTTTACCCATGGAAGAACATTCAGGGCCATCTTCTCTCCCTAGATTGATAAATATCTACCATCTCATTCACTTTCTAATTTTCCAGTCACTCCAACCCACCAGAGGACCACATGGCTCAGCAGCCAGCAACCCCTCCGGCGGGGCAGACAGGGAAACAACCTCTGCAGAGAGCTCCTCTCCCTCCGGGCAGTTCAATGGCTGGAGCACCTCATTACCATGGACTAGGTTGGCCCTGCCTGGGTCACAAGTTTTCTTGGGAGCACATGCTCACTCCCAGGTCACAACGCCCCAAGAACGCATGCCGCAGAGCTTGCTCCATCTCCCACTAACCATGGCCCCAAAGAATGGAGCAGCTGCTGCCTGGACTGGGACTAGAGAGGGCCTCAGAGCCACACACACGGCCCAGCACCAACTCTCCCTGGGAACCACCCTGAGTTTTCCTGCCCACACCGAGCTGCCCAGCAGCCACCGCTGATCCCTGCCCTGACACCTGAGAGGAATCTGGGCTCCTCAACCCCTGAAGGTGCAATAGTCCAGGCTCAACCCCTGGCTGGAAGGTGCAGAGACCACAAGGCACACATCCCAGCCCAGAGCTTCTCCCAGCTGCTTTGGTTTTAGTCCAGGGAGCACACTGTGTCATCGTCCCCTGTGGGTGCTGGTGTAGCTCAGCCCAGGCCCCCACCTGCTACACTGACAGCCCTGGCACCACTCATACTCCTTTCTGCATCACTGCCTGCTCTGCCCCCAAGAGAACCCTGGCTGCTGGCCACCACGGGGCCCTGGTGTTCACAAGTGTGTGGACTGACTGGGTGGTAAAAGCATATATATTGATTTTGAGAGAGAGAAAAGTAGGAATATAGAGAAAGAACCATTTTTTTAGATACATCTAATTGATTTTTTTACAGAGAGGGAGAGGGATAGAGAGTTGAAACATTGATGAGAGAGAAACATCACGCGGGAGAAACATGGATCAGCTGCCTCCTGCACACCTCCTACTGGGGATGTGCCCACAACCAAGGTACATGCCCTTGACTGGAATCGAACCTGAGACCCTCAGTCTGCAGGCTGACACTCTATCCACTGAGCCACTTTTATACCTTCTTTGGCTGATGCTTGGAATTGTCCTGACCAGAGATGGAACTTGCAACCTTCCCATTACTGAGATGATTCTCTGACCCACTGAGCTATTTGGCAACAGCCGAATATATGTGCCTGTTTAGGTAAAATAGCCCAACAATGTACCTGAGAATAGATACAAAACCATCATGATGACAGCTAATGGTGGGAAGCTAGTATGGGATTCATTAAGTCTTTTTTACATGGGAATATTTCATAAGCTACTTCAAAGGCAGACTGTATTTTTCTTCCATTATTTTAAATGCCATGATTGCAGCATTGATAAGGGCAGGAGGAACTTGGTTTCAGCGATGCAGGAATACATGGAAACACCAAAAGCAAATGTTAAATATATATCTCCCACATAACAAACGGTTGCTATGATGCGCACTGAGCACCAAGGGGCAGACGGTCAACACAGGAGCTGCCCCCTGGAGGTCAGTGTGCTCCCACAGAGGGAGCTCCACTCAGCCACAAGCCTGGCTGACAGCTGCGAGCACTGGCAAGTGGACATTCTCTGAGGGGTCCAGGGCTACCAGAGGGATGTCTGACTGCCAGTGTAGGCCTGATCCCGCCAGGGAGCTGGCAGAAGCTGGCGGGTGGTCATCCCCCAAGGGGTCCTGGAATGCAAGGGTGCAGTCCGGGCTGAGGGACACCCACCCTCTGAGTGCACTAATTTTCATGCACTGGACCTTTTATATATATATATAAATATATATGTAAATTTTACTTAAATCAAACTTTAAAAAAGGTTTAAAACTTGAGGCTTCCCAATTATTTTACTCTGTTATTATGAAAGTTCTGGAGCATATCTGTTGCTACTGTATCAGTTTGTGGGAAATACAATGATGTGCTGCTGGGAGATCTTATCATGTCCATGTTCAATGCCATGGTTCTGGCAGTTTAACACTGACCATGATGAGAGTATATACACCAAAGAAACTGACAAATACTACAATTCTAGACTTCACTTAATGTATTAATGAATTCTTAGATGTAAGAGTGGTTCTGAATGTTCACAATGCAGATTAAATGTACAAGTACTAGTCTATGATATAAGTTGGCTTAATTTGTACATAGCATAATAATTGAGAAAAACAATTTTCATTCCAGTATTGCGAACCTATGGTTCCATATGGCAAGAGGTCAATTGAGTCCCTGAGGAATAAGGGAAATTCAAACATATGTCTTAGGCGGTACAGTCCTCCTTCAGTTAAAATAATAAATTTATTTAAACAATTTGAAAAAGATCCAGAGTTGACATTTTAACAAAGCAGACAGAGACAATGCCAATAAGTATATGGAAAAAAAAATGTTCACCATAAAAAATTCTTAGGGAAATGGAATTAAAATGAAAGCAAGTTAACACAATATTCATTTCCGGGGTTCCTATTTGAAAAGGTAACCCATTGTATGTCCTTGCAGGGTAGCAGAAAAACTGGAATTTTTATATACTGCGGGTTACTGAAAAGGCAAAAGGCATGATCATTTTGGGTCACAGTTCCGCATATCTTAAATGTAAAATATTCATCTACACAACAGTTTGATAAGTAAAGCCTATGTCTATATACACATCTGATTTGAAATATTCTCACATTATTTTTTATAATATCCCAAACCTGGAAATAACAAAAAACAGAGAGATCAATCGATAAAGTGCTTATTCACAGAACTCAGTGCTACTCTGAAATAAAAAAAAAATTCACTCTTCTCATAAGCATTTGTGTTCAATCTGAAAATGACTGTGCAGCATGGAGAATGCCAGTATTTGTTAGAGTACACCCCAGCCCAAACGGGTTTGGCTTAGTGGATTGAGCTTTGGCTCAGTGGATTGAGCATCGGCCTACGGACTGAAAGGTCCCAGGTTCGATTCCGGTCAAGGGCATGTACCTTGGTTACGGGCACATTCCCAGTAGGAGATGTGCAGGAGTCAGCTGATCGATGTTTCTCTCTCATTGATGTTTGTAACTCTCTCTCTCCCTTCCTCTCTGTAAAAAATCAATATAATATATTTAAAAAAAAGAGTACACCCCAAGTAGTGCCAATATAATTATGTACAGTATGAACTATTCTACTGCAAAAGAGGAAAATTCATGACTGCATGGAGGGCCGAGAAAGGAGGACAGATATTACAACAGGGCAGTAGGAAAATACAGGATGTGGCAAAAGAAGGTTTAGAGTTGCTGGTATAGAAAATGATACAATAATTAATATTAATAATACAGGTATAAACTCTGCCTCGGCAAGTGTCCTCAGCTGGTTGGGTGGCATCCCATTCACTGAAAGGTCACTGGTTTGATTTCAGGTCAGTGCAGAATCCCCAAGTGGATCCCCAGATGGGGGCCTTCAAGAGGCAGCAGATCTGTTTATCTCTCTCTTCCCCTCTGTACTTTCCCCCTTCTCCACAAAAAATGAAAGTATTTTTAAAAATATTTTTTAAAAAGAATAATTTCTGTTAATCCCCAGAGGGAAGGAGGGGAGTGTCGGGGTCTCTGTTAATCCCCAGAGGGAAGAAGGGGAGTGTGGGGGTAAGGGGAAGAGATCAACCAAAGGACTTGTATGCATTCATATGAGCCAAACCAATGGACATGGACAACAGGGCGGTGAGAGCATGAGTCGGGGAGGCGGGGGGGAGGATGGGGGTTAATAGGGAGGAATGAGGACACATTTGTAATGCCTTAACTAATAAAGAATTTAAAGATTAAAAAAAAAGAATAATCTCTGTGTTCTATGAACTTACAACTGTGAGCCTATTGTTGCCCCACCCTGTGTAGGAGTTACAGGTGGGTTTATTTCACATGGGACAGTTTCACAGCTTTATCTCTAGGTCAGGGCTCACCAAATAGCACACGTGAGAACGGGGCACTTTGTTGCATGTCAGTCCTCATTTCCTGGGGGGACAGCCTTGCCTCCGTGGCAGCAAATGTTGTCAAGCAGTGAAGACTATGGCCATTGGAATCAAGAGGAAAGCTGACTGGTTACAAAAGACACATCCTGGGACTGACTACAGCATTATCTTTCCTCAAGCTTTGAGTTCTTGCCTGTTGAGCAACAACCTTCAGGTCAACACCCTAGAGCAGTGGTTCTCAACTGTCCTAATGCCGCGACTTTTCATCTACTTTAACTGCAGTGTCTGCTATGACTATGAAAACAGTGTCTATGTCCGAATACTAATTAAACCTCAGAGGCTTACAACAAATGACACCAACCTATGAAATCTCACACATCATGTCACATGGCCTCTTGGAGCACGTGGAGAGTTCCCCTAAACATTGCTGACACTTGTGGACTACATACTGTGAACAGAGAATATACTTCATATTGTTCACAGGAGCACAATAAAGGCAGCCTGCTCAGGGCAACCACTGGCTCTACAATATAAGAGGCACCAGAGAGCAAATCAGAACCACAAAGTCGTGCACACTCTCTCTCAAGGCCTTGGTTGGCAACACAAAATCAGCCATTATTGGAGAAAGAGTGATTTGCTGCCATCAAGCTGTGCCTTCCAACGCACACAAAGTTTGGGACCCACCATATCTGTTCACCTGTCCATGCTGACACATCACATCTTTCCTTTCAATCGTCCCAGGGAGAGAATAGAACCAACAAAATTAAAGGAAAAACAGCTTTACATAAAGATCATAAACCAGAGCAGAGGGCAGCAAGAGGTTTGCAGATTGATGAATTAGAACCTGAAACACTTCATCACACACAGTGAGAATCACAATGCCCTGAAGGAGGCAGCACTTAGCTGAGGAGGGTGCTCTGGATGAAACCTGCATCAGCTCAATTCTCCGGTCAGAAATAAAGGAAGGAAGGTTCACACAGGAGCTCGGAACATTCATAATTTTCTCAAGCACAGCCCCAGAGCAGGAAGGGGTTATTCATAATTTTCTCAAGCACAGCCCCAGAGTATGCAGGGGTTGTGACGGATGCACACTCTTCAGGTGGGCCAAGTGTTAGGTTGAAATAGCTTCCACACAAACATGTGCAGTGTCATCAATCAGGTTGTAGGCCTGAGTAGGTTAGCAAGTCGGATGCATTTTCTGAAAGCGTCACTTATACCTGAAACGTAGGAGGCATCTAGCAGAGAGTATGATCTGATACAGGGGTTGGCATTCAGGTAAATGGGGTTTTGTAAAAGCTTCTCCTCTGGTGTTATTCTGAGAAAAGTAAAACATTCCCTGCACACTTAAAGCTTTTCTCCAGCGTGTACTTTCAAGTGTTGAACGAGGACATATTTGAAGCGAAAAGATTCCCCACATTCACTGCACTCATGAGGTTTTTCAGCAGTGTGAACTCTGAGGTGTTGAATGAGGTTAGATCTTCGCAGAAAGCACTTCCCACAAACACTACATCCATGCGGCTTTTCTCCGGTGTGAACTCCCTTGTGGATAAGGAGGGAAGAATTTTCCTTAAAAGATTTACCACATTCATTGCACTTATATGGTTTTTGTCCAGTGTGAACTTTGTTGTGTTTAGTGAGTGAATACCCCTGATGGAAGGACTTCCCACATTCACTGCACTCATAAGGTTTTTCTCCAGTGTGAATTCTGTTGTGTTTAAAGAGGTTAGAGTAGTGACTGAAGGACATCCCACAATCACTACACTGAAATGGCTTTTCTCCAGTGTGAACTCTCTGGTGGGTAAAGAGGACATAGCTGCGACTAAATGATTTTCCACATTCATTACATTTGTAAGGCTTTTCTCCAGTGTGAACTCTCTTGTGGACAGAGAGGCCATAACTGCACCTAAATGATTTTCCACATTCACTACATTTGTAAGGTTTTTCCGCAGTGTGAACTCTGTGGTGTTTAGTGAGGTGAAGCCTTCGACTGAAGGATTTCCCACATTCACTGCACTCATGCGGTTTTTCTCCAGTGTGAACTCTCTGGTGATTTCTGATGGATGACCTGTCATTGAAAAGCTTGCCACAGTCACTGCACTCATACGGTTTTTCTCCCGTGTGAACTCTGTGGTGTCTTGTGAGGGAAGAGCTGTGATTGAACAGCTTCCCACAGTCAGTGCACTCATAGGACTTTTCTCCAGCGTGAATTCTCCTATGTCTATTGAGGTTAAAGATACATGTAAGAACTTTCCCACGTGTATTACACTCATATTTCTCTTCCCCAGAGCAGACGCCCTGATGTTGAACAAGGTTTTGGTTGTGGCTGGCTGCTTTTTCACAATCATCCCATTGGTGATGCCTTTTTCTTTTCAGAAATTCTCCTGAAATCTCACTGCCACTGTGTGGCTCCTCAGTATTGTGAGGGGTCTGGTGCTGGACAAGCTCTGAGATGGCTGGGAAGACTTCCCCACCCTCCCTACTGGATGAAGGCAGCCCTGATAAGGAGAAGCTGCACCTGGCCACAGACGAGGCCCTGTCCACAGCTTCTTTCCAGGGCTTCTCTCCACCTGCTTCACTCTGTGGACGGGGAGGGTTCGCACTGAAACAGAAGCCTCTCACACGTGCGTCACTGAAGAAGGCTTTCTGCTCAAAGTCTGCTGCTTGTGACTCAGTCAGGTGCAGAATGTCTTTGAACACAGAGAAACACCTTCCACACCGATGGCTCTTCTGGGTGGCTGGAGCTGTCTTAGAAACACTAACCTGTGACTCCACTTGTACAGATACACTCTGCTCAGAACAGGCCTCCGTATCACCCGTTTTATGCCAACAACCTGAAAACATAAAAATGGTGATGAAATCAATGTCCACTGTGGTGCCAGGAGAAGTCTCATTGCAAAAGCGTGTCGCACATTAACACGTTGTTTACATGCAATTGTCTGACAGCAAAGTATCTGAAGGAAATGTTGGTAAGATGCTGCTGTGAAGATCTGGGCCACTGAGGATAACCATACAAGGAAGATCTCAAATAAAATATGAAAAAAACATGGCAAGCACCACATGGAACAGAAGCTGGATAGTCTGCTCATGTGTCTACTAACAGTGTTGAACAGAGCCTGTCTACTGGCGACGTGGGCAAGCTGTACATCTTATTCCAAGTAAAATTCAAGATATGAAAAGTGGGGTCTAGTGAAGTACGTCTGTGCATCTCATAACACATGTGCAGGTCAATATGTGAGAACGCCTCAGATAGAGCAGTTCAGAGGAACAGGTGCTGGAAAAGGCAAAAAGGTGAAGGTAGCCAGAAACCAGGAAGTCACAGATTAAAAGATAAGTCAGGGAAGTGTCAAGCATGGGAGTGAAAAGGTAGAAATAGGAGCTGCTGGCAGTGGCACCTCAACCTAAACTCTGTTGGACAAGAGCAGGTTCCTGGTATGATCTAAGCACCACCTTTATGTCATACCTCGCGCGAGTTGCAACTCACAAGGGCCAGGCAACCCTTTAAATCATGCTGCATGTTCCCGCTGGGGAAATAAAACAGGGTTCTCCTTGCATCTTCTACTGTACAAGCTCACAAAACACAAATATTCTGAGTTCTATAGAAAGACAGCCCTAGCTGGTTTGGCTCAATGGATAGAGCTTGGCATGTGGACTGAAAGGTTCCAAGTTTGATTCCAGTCAAGGGCACATGCCCCTCAGTTAGGGAACGTGCAGGAGGCAGCCAGTCAATGATTCTCTCTCATCACTGATATTTCTATCTCTCTGTCCCTCTTC